GGGGGGGGGGGGGGTCTCTCCTGGGGCAGCCACAGGCCTTGAACAGCTCCCCAGGGGCCCTGCAGAGACCTGGCCTATGGGGGAGGGGAGAGGCCAGGCTGGGAGGGGGCCAGGGATGGGGCACAGGGGATCGGGGCTCTGCTGGGCCCTGCCAGCCACACACACCACACAGCAATTGGGCCTTTCCTGTGAAACACTGTTAACTTGTGGAACTCACTGCCACTGGACACCCCATGGCAATAAACTGAAATTCTCTGAGGGGTCGGCCATTTCTGTGGGTCACACGAATACCCAGAGCTAGAAGGGTTCACATGGACAATGGGCAGGGAGACTGACCATCCTGCGGCCCAACCGCGCCCCATCTCTGCGATTCCCACAGGTGCCTCCTTACCCCAGACGAGGGCGGGCGCAGGCAGGCTGCTGTGCTCCACCCGGCAGGCGTAGCGGGGCCCGTCCGGCCGCGGGCCGATCTCCAGGGACGACTGGGTGTGGTAGGTGCCGTCGGCGAGGGGCAGGATCCCGCTGGAGCTCGTCTCCGCCAGGACGTCGCCTCCGTCCCGCACCCAGGAGAGGTGGATGGGACGCGGGTGGAAGCCGCTGGCGCGGCAGGAGAGGGTGACGGGGCCATGGGGAGCATCTCTGAGGGACACCGAGACCTCGGGGAGCACTGGGGGGAGACAGAGAGTGAGCCACATGGGACAGGGTGAGAGGCAGGAGTCACAGGCCCTGTAGCACGCCCACCCCTCCCGTGGGCGTCAGACCTGTCTGCACCCGTTCACACTGATCCGTACTGGGGCTGGCGAATTCGGTGTCAGTCCCAGACTCACTCTCATGACCCCACATGGGTAGCGGAGCTGGGCAGCTGCCAGCCCAGGCCTGGCCAGTCTCCTTGGCTGCGCACGGCCCCTCTGTGACGTGCTGGGGACTGTGTTCGCTCTCTCCCCGTGTTGTGTTGTGTGGGACTTTGACCGCCCTGTGCTGCTTCCCACACTCCATGACACCCGCGCTGTCACCCGGGCAGGCGTCACTGGGCCGTGCAAACAGGCGCCTGCAAGTTCTGGGCTAAAGGGGCAGATTCCTCAGCACCTGTAGTGCCACGGCCCAGTGATTCCACGGGGAGCTGGGCGCCTCCGTTCGGAACCCCAGCTGGCTCTGTCTGCATCGTGCGGTGCCTAAACCCCTTCGTCACACATCCCGGCTCCCTGCCCCGTCCCTGCTCTGCCCTCTGCTGTGGGGCTGACAGACCGGACACAAGAAGCTCCCAATGGCAGTGTCTACATTGGCACCCCTTTCCGGAAAAAGGATGCTAATGAGACCAGTCGGAATTGCCGCTTTTTTCCGGCTCGGGGTTTTGCTGGAGAAAAGCGCCAGTCTAGACACGATTTTCCGGAAAATAAGCCCTTTTCTGGAAGATCCCTCAGGGTATGTCTACACTACCCCGCTAGTTCGAACGAGGAGGGTAATGTAGTCATCCGCAGTTGCAAATGAAGCCTGGGATTTGAATTTCCCGGGCTTCATTTGCATGAAGC